TCTCTCTCTCTCTCTCTCTCTCTCTCTCTCTCTCTCTCTCTCTCTCTCTCTCTCTCTCTCTCTCTCACACACACACACACAAAGGTTATTTCAGGATAGATGGACTTCTAACTTGGGCACTAGCTTCCCCCAAAGGTATTCCTGGAAGTCCTAGATCACTTCTTCCATATTGTGTTATCAAGCCAAGTCACTAAGACCATCCCAAACTCACGGAGAAGGAGATGGACTCCATATCATAGAGAAAGGGATGCCTAGGGGCTGGGGATTTAGCTCAATGGCAAAAGCACCTGCCTGGCAAGCGCAAGGTTGTGAGTTCAGTTCCCGGTACCGGAGAAAAACCAAAAAAAAAAAAAAAAAGAGAGAGAAAGGGATGCCTGAGGAAAGGAATACATGTTAACCATCCTGGAGATGAGCTATTAAGAATTCCTTATTCCCTACTAAAAGTGTGGAATTCTCCTAAGGAAAAAAATTCTTGTCTGCCAAGTCTAGTCTAAAGGTCACTTCCCTCAAGACAGTGACTCCCCTAGAATTCTTAGGTGCCCTTACTGAGTATTCATACAACAAGCATATATATCATAGCAATTTCTACTTCCTTTACAAAGATTACTTAACTGTGTGTCTCTTTGATTAGTTGCTGCTGCCAGCATCTATTTTACTCACAGCTCCTTCCCTGGCACCCACCATGGTACACTGCACACAGTGTACCTCAATAAATATTTAATGAAGTAAAAATGGAAGCTGATTATGTCTACAGCCAATCTTGCTGGAGCTGACCTTTGGTTTCAAAGCCAGGACTGAATCCGTGGCCTTTTTATCCTCCTTTTATTCCACTCCCCTTTAATTTTTTCCCAAACATATAAGAGCCACTATTTTATGTTAACAACATCATCAGGACTTGTCCTGAACTGACTTTTCTCTGCCTTAACTCCTGTGGGCTGGAGGAGTGATTATCATGTGCAGGATGGAAAGGGGGAGGGGAACCAACTTGCTCCTGAAAATGAATCTGCCATGATGCACGAGCCAGGAGCTTAATAGGGAGCATGATCCTCAATTTGCTGAGTGTAGCTCGAAAAGGAGCCCGGAGTTGGGCTTGTGACATGCCATTTCTCAGAGGATTTCAGCTGCTGCTACTGCTAAAAGAAGGATTGATGACTCTAATAAGAGATCTGAACACCATCTTCTTATAAAACAGAAGAGCTAGAGTTGTCAGGCTAATTGGCATTGCAGGCATGAGTATGTGCATGCCATACATAATAATGCATATGGATTATCCACATCTACAAAAGAGTAGAATGAGGATAAAGCAAAAGCCAGTAGGACAAAGGCAACAGGCAGTCTAATCCACTTAATGGGTCAAGGAGCTCAATGCTGAGCCACAAATGCATCATTTGATAATGCTAATGAAAAAGACAGCAATCTATATCTACAAATAGCATTAACGTAGATTTGGTTTAGAGGCCAAACTAAATTGATGTGAAATTTACGAACCTGGCCATCTCTCAGATATGCTTGGTGAGGGGGAGAGTGCTCAGTTCCTACTTTTTTGCCTTTGGAGATCGCTGTGAATTAGGTCTTGTTTCCAACGTGGGTTTTCTTAATATGTGAGACTTTTCAATGACAACTGTTTGCCACCTAAACTTACTGCTGAGGATGCCAATTTTATAAATGGGTGAAGTCTACTTGATGACCCTTTGATGCATTTCATTTCCCTGGCCAATCTCTGCGGCGCTCCTTTTTGCACACACACACACACACACACACACACACACACGCATGCACGCACACACAAAGTTGCAGGTGGTTTGAACTGGAATTTGCAGCAGGGTGTGTGTGAATCATGATTTAACAGCTGGTCCTAGAAAGCATCTGAAATGTTGTGATGATTTGGACAGCGAGCTGTCTGCAAATCCCATTACAATATTCCTGTGCACAATGCCATTGGAAGAGCACTTCATTTTCAACAAAAGTTCTCATACATCCTCCACAGGAATGACAGCCCAATGCACTGCAAATATGCAGGGTGCATTAAGTTTTCTTATTCTTATGATGCCTCAGTCAATATGAGGTAGCACTCACAGAGGGTAATGAAGTCTGCTTTCCACACATCAGTGTTCTTACAATTATGAGCTGATTGACCTTCACTTTATGCTTCACCTGCAGAGAAAGGGGAGGCCGGTATATCATACAGTATAAGCATAAGAGAGTCAGCTCCTTGGAGGAGGAAATGATGAGCTTGTCCCTGCTGTGTGCGATGGAAAGTTCTGCTGTAGTCTTCCTCTGAAATCAAGAAGGTATTACTGCAGACCAAATCAGAAGTTTAAGAGAGACAGGGAAATTTGGGGTTTTTTTTACAATCACCTGAAAATTTAAACTACTTTGTGAAAAACCTTGTAATAAGTGAAGTCATTTCATTGACTAATTCCACAGATCTCACCATTCCGCCTTACTCAGCTCTTAGCCCCATCCACTTTCAAATGACTCAGAGAGCTGCTGCCTCATCTTCACACCCAGAGTCAGGCTCTGTCTCAG